GGCGTAAAATTAATGTTGCAGTTTTCAAATTAAAGTGACGCAAAAGAAGAATTGGCGAAATTAAATTTCAGCGCAAATGGATATCGGCCTTCAAAACACCGTTTGTACATGTACACTAACAGAAGTGTATTCATCTTTTACGCTGTCTAGCCTGGGAATAAAAGTTTTGGCAATTTGTGTAGGGTTTTAATTTTAGAATATAATGAAAGAAGATCGTTAACAACCTTAAGTGAATCAGAAAATGAGCTATGCACAATAAAAGGAAAACGTTTGGTGCGTCGATATGAAATTTAACAGAGGCATGTAATATTTGTAAAATTTGCATTAAGTCTTTCAATAATAATTATTTTTAGAACTGACTATTTCGATCCTTCAAATACGTGTAAAATAATTAATGTTTATATCATTTAGTCTCTTTCATATATACAATTGCAGAATGTTTATAAATACTATATATTTGTATTTGATCATTGATTGCATGCATAACGTCCAGTGACAAATATTTCATGTATTCGTACAAGATTAAATGATAACGCTCAGACACATAAATATGTAACATGAGGTCAAAGTATAATACATAAACAATTAAATGACGAAATGAGCATGCAGTACTATTGAACACATAATAATATTATAAATACATTTGTAAATATTTTAGAATTAACAAGCAATTTTCTTAAGAAAAATTGAAAGTCGTTTCTAAACTTCCATTTTACATATGGACAATAATCCTTCCATTTCAATGTATTGCGGAATAATAGTATAATATCTAGGTAAGTATTGGATTCTTTAATTAACAATAGAATCATGATGACATACAAATAAAACTTGAAATTCATCACCAACAAATTTATTACATAAAGTACATATTCTCTCTGGTCTAGATATATTTTGCCATCGCCCTGTCTCGATTGGATTACGTAAGTTCGATGACCCTAGTTTAGTTACTCAGCCTCTATTCTGTTCAGATAGTCTGATCAGATATTTTTCTAATCCCAACTCCTTCTTAAATGTCCCATAAAATTGTCCCCGAGATGAATTTTCCATGTATCGCCAAACCATGAGGTAATAAACTGATCACTCAATATTCGATCGAGATAATTTTTATCACAAAAGCCAATCTGATTCATGAAAATATATCTTAGGCCAGTGTTGTTAAATATGGATTTTACAGAATCAATCCATTTGAAAACATAAAGACCATGATTCTTCAATGATAGCATCAGCCTGTACAAAGCACTACTGAGTTTATTGCTATTGTTAACAACTTTACACCACTTTAAATCGTTCTACATTTAACTCGAATTTGTAGAGGAAATCTTCCCAAATTCTCCATACACTATAAAATTGGGTGTAGTATTTCGAACTTTTAAAATTCTTTTGCAAAATTTCAAATGCATCTGTTCAATAATTTTTAAATTCTCAAAACCCCAAACTTCAGAACCATATACAAGAATTGGTTCTATCATAGACTCAAATAATTTAAGTTGCAATTCTATAGGAATGTTTTTCGTTTCTAACAATTCTATGTATAAATGCATCGATTTTTGCGTTTGATCAATAAGCTTCTTTTTAGTATCTAACATATACCGTTATATTTAAAGATAATACCCAAATAAGAAAATTTTTCAACTATCTCAAGTACTTTGTCTTGTAAAAAAAATCAAATTGCCTTTTACTTTTCCTCTTACTAAAAATCATAGCCTTTGTTTTATTTAAATTTACTCCTAATTTCCACTTTTCACAATATAACTGGAAAATGTTTAGTGATTGCTGCATACCTTCTTCTGTTTCAGATAAAACTACAGTATCAACTGCATATAATAATACAAATAATTCAAAAAATATGTGCAATTCACTTTGAAACTTACAGTTTATAGTGGAATCCCATCTAGACTCTTAAAGTAGTCTTCTAAGTCATTAAGAAAAATTGAAAACAAAAAAAGGGGATAAATTCTCCCCCTGTCTAACACATGCTAAACAGTGGGAAACTCTGACTGACATCAACTATATTTTACACATGATTTGATCCCTTGGTACATATTAAAAATAACTTGATATAAATCAATTGAAGATCTTGATACCGTATCGAATGCTTTCCGAAAGTCCACAAAATTACAAAATTTTTTTTTGCCAAATGAGAAATACAGCTCTATGAGTGCATAAAGTACAGAAATATTGTCTACAAAGAACAAATTGACAACGTTTAAAATACAATTGACTGGTTATTTAAGGTGATTACATCTAAAATAAAGAAATATAAAGTTATTTTTCCATTCTGCTTTTTACTCATACATGGACATAAGCACTTTTTATAGACAAAATAATAGTTTTAACATCGACAGCAGCAATCGCAAACGACGCTGGTTCCATAGAAGTCTTCACGAATTTTTATATATCCCTGGCAATCTTCGTTTTATATCAGACTCTGACATTACATAACAAATACCATGGATGTCTTGTCTTTTTTCAATACATTTAGATATAAAATGTGTATCTTATATGAAGCCTTATTTATAGCACAGTATATATAATTCATTGTGTCAAGAAAATATTTGGATGGAGAGAGAGAGAGAGAGAGAGAGAGAGAGAGAGAGAGAGAGAGAGAGAGAGAGAGAGAGAGACTTATATATTTCGCGGTATTTGGTATCATGTTACTTTTGTCTAAATGTGATGGAAGGAAATGTTCCCCCTTCGTTTTATATAGCAGAGTATACTATAGTGTAATGATATTAGTTGCAGATTTTTTTTCTATCGGTAAGAAATGGTATACAGTTCGAAATATACATTAAGTTATAGTACATTTTAAGTAAGTTTATTGCATTGCTAAACGTTTCTCAATCAAGATAAAACGTTTACAATTAATACTATTTTTACGACTGAATAAGTTTTATTTAAAATAGATAGTTCACGTTTCATTGAACTAAGGGTATTGTTTAGGTTAGTTTTTTATTTTAACAGTTTATAAGATCGAATTTGAAATGTTACACAATGATTCAAAATTACAAAAAGACATCAAGATTTGCGCAGTTAGTATAAAACAAAAAATAAAATAATTAAAAACCAATTGTTCATAGAACAATTGAGGGTCTTTCCGCTTAGGATCTATTTTGATATGCAAATATTAAAATTCGGTTTAAAATGTCATTTCTAGTGTCAAATGATAGCTTATTGTTTGCTGATTCCAAAAATGTAGGTTTCTATACAATTTTGTTTTAAATCAGGGAGGTAACTTGTTACTTTCGGTTGGAAAAATGTCATCTCCGGTATTATTTGATACTTTACTTATCACTGCTTTCAAAAATATATTGTTTTATATACTTTTACATGAAATGGGTACAAAAATAGCCACTTCCGGTTTACACAAGGTCAATTTCTGTTTGTTTTTTTCAAGGTCATATGGCTTGTAACCAAATGCACAAAGTCCAACAGCTTGATGATGTATACATATGAATTTTAAGCAAAGGTCATTATCTAGAACGTCAAATTTACATATGACCTTGACCTAAATTTCAGGTTCATAAACTAAAGACATTAAATCAAAAGACACTAGGTCTCTAATATGTATGGTTAATGAGTTATATCACTTTACTCATAATTCTAGTTATAAGAGGGGCAAAAACTCCTATTAAATGTCAGCGTACCGTTCAACCAAGATAAATGACTTACGACATGTTATGATTAACAATTTAGTAAACATATGTTGTCGATATCATATACGGTGTATGAAAAGAAGTGAAAATAAGCCAAAATCAAAATTTAGAATATGACCTTGACCTTTGACCTTGACCTAATTTTCTTATTTTTGTCGAGCCTTTGACTTTAGTCGAAAATGCGAGACATAGCGATCCTACATTCCGTCGGCGTCGGCGTCGTCGTCGTCGTCGTCGTTGTCGTCGGCGGCGTCCACAAATATTCACTCTGTGGTTAAAGTTTTTTGAAATTTTAATAACTTTCTTAAACTATCCTGGATTTCTACCAAACTTGAACTTGCTTGTTTATGATCATAAGATAGTATCCAGAAGTAAATTTTGTAAAAATAAAATTCCTGTTTTTCCGTATTTTACTTGTAAACGGACTTTGTTTTTCTGCCGGGAAACATTACATTCACTCTGTGGTTAAAGTTTTTAAAATTTTAATAACTTTCTTAAACTATCCTGGATTTGTACCAAACTTGGACAGAAGCTTGTTTATGATCATAAGATAGTATCCAGAAGTAAATTTGTTAAAAAAAAAAATTTCATTTTTCCGTATTTTACTTATAAATTGACTTAGTTTTTCTGCAAGGAAACAATACATTCACTCTGTGGTTAAAGTTTTTAAAATTTTAATAACTTTCTTAAACTATCCTGGATTTGTACCAAACTTGGACAGAAGTTTATTTATGATCAAAAGATAGTATCTAGAAGGAAAATTGGTAAAATTTTGTACCTGTTTATCCGTATTTTACTTATAAATGGACTTAGTTTTTCTTCCAGTTAACATTAAATACAGTCTGCAGTTAAAGTTTTTAAAACATTTATTAGATTCATAAACTATCCTGGATTTATACCAAACTTTGACAGAAGCTTCTTACAATCAAAAGATAGTTTCTAAAGGAATATTTTTATTGATTTTTTTCCTCATTTTTGTTGAGCCTGCGATTAACAGCCAAAGTAGGCGAGACACTGGGCTCCGCGGAACCCTCACGAATTTTTTGGACCAAAGACCTCAAATCCAAAGACCCTAGGTATCTATCACTTATGGTTTACCAGTAAGAAATGCATATCACTTACAGCAAATGCATAAGGGGGAATAACTCTCATATGGAGTCTCCGGATAGGTTCGGTTTAAATAGTCACCCTAATCCTTAAGACGTAACGGGCAATTTGGTAAAATAAATTTGTTGTTATCTTTTACGGTTGCGAAGGAGTAGAGGACACAAGAAAAACAGTGCTTGGGGGAGATAACTCTTACAACGTAAAGTCTTCGGTTAAACGGTATCAATTTTTAAATTTGATATCATATACCAAATATCTAAGCGACATCTTGCGAAACAACAATACTGTGCAAGAACAAAAATTAGGCGAAAGAAAAGAAATAATAATCAGAACAAAATCAATAGGTCTTTCCACGGAAAAGTGAAAAGACCTAATCAAGATAACTTATTTGCTTTAATTAACAAGTGAAATGTTTCCAATCCAATCTTTCCAATCTAATATAGTCCAAAGGGTGACAAGGGGATAGAAACATGGTCACTACAGGTCTTCTTCCGGCTGGCAGTAAAAAAAAACCTTGCCAAAATTGGGCATCTGTTTAGTTGTTTGAGATATACAACCAACTATCAATCAATCCAATTTGATAATTGTTTATTTTTTCATGCCGAATTTTTTATATTAAATTATTTGAACTCAAATAATAATTGAAATAACTACATATACCATACGCTTAACAAAACGATATACCAAACGATAGATGAAACGCTAAACGATATCATATACATGTACCATACGATAAACGAAACGCAAAACGCTAAACCATACCATGTCCCATACGACAAATAAAGCACTTAACGATACTATAAACCATACGATATACAAAAACCTAAATGATGACATTTACCATACGATAAACGAACGATGAACGAACGCTGACCGAACGTTGTAGGAACGCTATACGAATGATGTACGAACGATGAACGGACTCTAAACGAACGATTCCCGAACGCTGTACATGCTGTACGTACGATTCCCGAATGAAAAAAAGTGTTAACTTTTACGTTACAGGGAATGTAATATTATTGCAAATGGCGGAATTTTTTTTCAAGGTTGATGTTTTTCTGAAATTGTTTAACATTTCACAGTGGTATAATACTTTTACTGTAATTATTCATCCCTTATTTTTTTTATTAATTTTGTATTTACATTGCATCAAAGATTAAATTTATTCGTTCAGTATATGTTCACTTGTGTAACTACGTCTTTTGATTGAGTTCAGTCATTTCAATTGATATTTTATAGTCTGTCTTTCTATGTTGTGATGTTACACTATTGTTTCAGATAAGGGTGAAGGTTTGGTACCATTAAAACGTTTAAACCCGCTGTAATTGTTTGCACCTGTCCTAAGTCAGGAATCAGATGTTCAGTGGTTGTCGTTTGTTGATGTGGTTCATAAGTGTTTCTCGATTCTCGTTTTTTACATATATTAGACCGTTTTTTGTCCCGTTTAAACGGGTTTACACTAGTAATTGATGGAGCCCTTTATAGCTTGCTGTTCGGTGTGAGCCAGGGATCTGTGTTGAAGACCGTACTTTGACCTATAATGGTTTACTTTTGTAAATTGTGACTTGGATGGAGAGTTGTATCATTGGCACTCATACCACATCTTCTTATATTTAAATATGCTATTAATGTTAACCTTTAAACGATCCATTTGAAAATACACTTATTCATTTTACCTACTTTATGTACAGTACTGCAACCTTGTTGTTTTCAGATGAAGTACAGATATTCATGAAAGATTGTTGGTCACTTGGTGTTTCCAGCTAGTACATTTATAGTGATGTGACTGACATAATAATTAATACTGTGATATTTGGGTTTAGCAAGTTTGATTTGACTTTATTAATAAATACCCCAAAACATTATTAATCGAAATAATCTGCACTACCAATTTAAGCAAAAGCTTCCGATGGCGGTCATGCATTTTTAATATAATGCCGTCTCAATTTTTTGGCATTTGTACGAATTTCTTCGCGTTCACAATAGTTTTTCTCTATTGCAATAATCTTGGCTTTTTTATTATAGAAAATAGCTTCTTCGAATTCGGAATTCAACTGGTACAAACGTGATTTTGCAACATTGACTAACATTTGAAGGCGACGATTTAAATCACTTGCGTTCAATAAATCCAGTAATTTATTTGCCTCATTTTCATGTGTGCTCTTTAATTTGTAGGTAGAAATAAATTTACCGCGCATGCCGATACCTACATAACAAAAAAGTAAACGAACTTCAAACCGTTGTTGCCATAGACTTCGCTGATCATCTCCCAAGTATATTGCTGCTAATATATCTAAAGCTTGTTTTGTATATTCTAATATGAACGCAAGCTCTTCATCGGGGTTATGCTCATACCATGCTCTACTGAACAAAACTAGTTTATATAACATATCAACTTTTTCGAGGCATGGTCCAACGTTTTCTGCACACATCAATGCCTTATTTCTCATGTTTTCTCCCTCTGCTTTTTTTTTTTTAAACGAATATGCAACAGCCTTGCGTCCGTACAACATGCATAGAGTCACATCAGGACATGATGTTTTTGATGCGATTGCTTCTATGTCATTAAAGAGATTACTTTCTGGGTCGATGTCGTTAGTTTTATTAGTTAAATCATCAATTGTGAATGCAGCAAATGCAACGTATTGATCGTAAATTTTCGTCATATTACATGTGGTAATATTACCTTGATTGACTGGCGTCTGTATAAATTGAAGTAATGTCTCTAAGTAACGCAGTGGATTGCTCACATCTTTTTCAAAGACACATCTTTCATTATCAAGAAAACATTTTCGCATAATAGATCGATGTTTTATATCAACTCTGGATACAACAAAACGAATGACATGTGATGCAACTGTAGAAGACGGTAACGACTCAGACGAGAATATCTTATACGTGTCTTCAAAAATACCAGTCGACTCGAGTTGTTTTCCAATACGAAAATGATGTATATTTGTCGTTTTAGTATCTGTGATAGTTTTATTGCTGCATATTTCACTACTTGTTTTCTTTGTTTGTGTTGATGGATGTTTTGTCTGTATCTTTTCTTCGTCCAAACTTCCGAAATTTGTTAGGGATATGCATGTCAGTTCTCCGTTTATTTTCGAACTCATTTTATCAGGAAAAGATCTACCTGTCTGGACTTCATCAATAGCTAACTTCATTGTGTCTGGATAGATGTTTGTGTACAATAATGTTGAAATACACGACGCCAGGTTTTCCATCTTTGTTTGCTTGAAACTCTGATCTGTACAATGAAAATATCAATATTGTGATACAGATATAATATCTATACATCATCGAATACAAATACTAATGATAAAGATAAGAACCGTCATAATAGAAAACAAAACATGCTTTAAGCAAGTTAACAATATTATTCTTTTTGTGACATCGAGGTAACCAAACCATCAAACGGCTAAATTTGTATTAACGTTTGTTTTATCAAAGAGGGTACTTGCGTAAGATAAAATTTCACGTCATAAGCCATTTGGAATGTTGTGTATATACTCGTGTGTTTGTCTCACAGTGTAACTGCAGATCTGTGAACGCAGAAATCAGAACTATTATTAAAAAGCTGGGTTATTCATGTCACCAGCATAGGTATCGACCCATTGGTGTAAATAGTTATCAAAGGTACCATGCTTATAATTTAATACGCTATACGCGCGTTTCGTCTACATAAGACTCATCAGTGACGCTCAGATAAAAAAAGTTATAAACCCAAACAAGTATAAAGTTGAAGAGCATTGAAGACCCAACATTCCGACAAGTTGTGCCAAATACGGCTAAGGTAATCTATGCATGGGATAAGAAAATCCTTAGTTTGTCGAAAAAATATAATTTTTGTAAATAGAAAATTTATAAAAATGAACATATAATTGATATTTATGTCAACACCGAAGTGCTTACTATTGGGCTGGTGATACCCTCGGGGACGAAACGCCCACCAGCAGTGGTATCGACCCAGTGGTGTAAATAGTTGTCAAATGTACCATGCTTATAATGTAATACGCCAGACGTGCGTTTCGTCTACATAAGACTGATCAATGACGCTCAGATCAAAATAGTTACTAAGTAAAAAGCCAAACAAGTATAAAGTTGCAGAGCATTGAAGACCCAATATTCCGAAAAATTGTGCCAAATACGGCTAAGGTAATCTATATACATTGATAGCGTTCTAATTGATTATGATTTGTCACAGTTTTACAAAAATGATATAAAGAGTCGGATTTTAAATCTTCTAAAAAATTCATTTCCATTTGAAAAAATCCTTAACGTTAAAGATTGATAACAAAATTCATGTACAATAATATGGTAGTATTGCTTTTTTCACGTCAGCGGTCCAAATTAATTAACTGCTATTTGAAAACTATAGTATTTTTTTTATGAAATAATACTAATATATCCTTAATATTTAGTTTACTCAAGTATTATGAATCAAACTTGGTTTGTTTTTAAAGTGTTAGGACAGGTTTTGGATTATCAAATATTTCTCACATACATGGAACATCCTATTATAGAAGCAAACAGTTCACAAAATTTGATATCATTTTAAAGCGAAAAAGTTTTAGTTTTTTTGTTTTTGTTTTTGTTTGTTTTGTCTTTTTGTGTTTTGTTTGTTTTTTTGTTTTTTTTTTTTTGTACTTCAGGCTAATAAAGCTTTAAAGTTTTAAAACTTTATAATATAGTATATTAAAATTGTAACAATGCCAGTTTACGATCAAATGAATTAAACATTATTCAAAATTGCAACTTGAATGTTATTTAGGACAAGTAAAAACCTCACAAGTTCATGTCTTTAAGAACATTTTATGTCAATTTGGTATCGCCCGGGCTAATTCTTTAAAAGGATCTCTGATAATACATAACTAGATTAACACAAATATGATTAAGATACATAAAATAATTGAATACTCATTTATATAGTTCTATAGGGCCTGAGACGTGTTTGTTGGGTTTGCGTGATTTATATGAAACAAATCAACGATTCATACTAAATGTGCTTCGTTCAACGTTTTAACACTCCAATTAAATAAAAAAATGGAGCATTCAATTCTCTAATTGTTAGATAGTGGGAGAATTTCTTGGTGGATATTTTATAAAGCACAAGTTGTTATTTGCATTTTTACATTGAGCACTGGACATTTTAGTTTGAAACGGTAATTTTAATCTTTACATTATCCGAAAAATAAACATAACAATAAATTATTGATTTAAATCCAGATCCATTGACCAGCTTTTTAAACAATAAGAATGATGCTGATCTGAAAAAGTAAATAAGAAATACAAAACTATCTGAACATTGACTGCCAGACTGAGTGTACAATGTATTATTCTGAAAATTACTATATTACTGAATTGACAACAAGCGAATGTTTTGAGCAGTACTGTATTGTCTGCAGTGGATAATCCTGAAAATTGACTGAAACAGTACTTTATCATTTATTCTTCATTCTATTAATAGCTGTAAAGATCAAAACGACCGTTTCAACTTAACATCATATATAAGTGACATTGTACAGATCAATTGTAAATATGTCGTACATTGGGTAATTTTTTTTTCTGAAGGAAATATATACGACAACTAATCTCCCAACTGTCAGTGGACGTTAAATTGGTGCAATTCCAAGCAAATGTTATCTCAACGAAAAGTTATTGTGATTGTGAATCCGTTGATAAAAAAAACAGAAATCATTAAAAAAAATACGAATCACTGTAGAATGTTCGGAGATCTAAGAGTTAAACGAAGTGTATGCAAAGTTCGTTGTAAAATTTGACAATCCATGTAAGGAATATGATTTCCAGTCGCCACGATTTAAAATTGATTTCCAGGTCATGATCAAGATGACAATCTACATGATTTATCAATGTTTGCGTTGACAGTTTTCAAAAAACGAAATGGTTGGCAATACAATAAATATGATTTATGAACAGAATTCAAAGAGACTTGATGTTTGAAAACGGGAGTGGGGCACATATAGAAATGAACTGCACAATTGCCTACTTAGAAGACAATATTTTAGCAAGATCATTGCATTTATTTCTATCAGCTTTATATATTTTTTGGATAATAAATCGTATATATGTTTTGCTTTAAGAGTCATCTCATGTTATATATGTTTTTCCTTTTCAGATGGATTGGTTTTATCATGTGTCTTCAAACATTCCAACATTTTTTGTTAAGATTGGAAGAAAAAGGATTTTAAATTACCTATGCTTTTACTTGTTATTTATTCGCAAGGCAATTCCTTACAATTGAAACATATATGGATTCCGCATCAACTTGATAAATTAGCATGCAGTGTGTTAAGTTTTTCTCAGGCAAGTGAAGAAACAATATGAAATTGTCGTAAATGGTTTTATATAAATGAAGAGGAAATTCATAATAAATCCTACAAAATGATAGGCGACTTTATTATAAAAAGCAATATTCTAATTTCTAAAGCCTTTAAACTATTTTAAAAAAATGTACTCACATTGCATGGATGTTCTCGTAGATATTCTTTGTTTTCGCCATAAAAAAGTAATGAAAAGTGCTGAAACAGGACAAATATGTTACGGGTATTTGTGTAAACTTTTATCATGAACGAAACAGTATTGGCGAACAAGCTAACCTTATACTTTTCTGTTTTCTGTAAACTTAACTCGACAATGAATATTTGGTGACGTCAATAAGAGCGATCCATTAACAATCGGTGGTTGTTGACGCATAGGTTATTGGACTTATAATAAAAATAAAAATGAGCCTGACAACCGTAAATGATCGAGCAGTATATATTATACATGAACGGATCGAACGAATGAATACCTAATTCAAATTCATAGATGAAACTAGTTTAACAGCATGAGGAGTGTTGCACGCGACGATAGGGACCTCGACGAAGACATTATTTTTATCATAAAAATACATATTGCTTCAAATGAAATGTGTCAAAGATCGACTTGAACATTGATTTAATATTTTCCACTTGACTTAAAGCAACTTTTTGTCAATTACTATTTATTTCAACCTACTGATATTATCAGAGCTTTCTTGTTATGTTTTATAAATTGTTTTACATCTTCAAATTCAAATTTAGAGACCAGCATTTTATAAATTTTAATAATATAAGGATATTATTACTGAAACTTTAGTTTGTGTTGAATAGTAAAGCTTTTTTTTTCTTATTTCAAATGAAGTAGTGAACAATCATTTGATTTTAGCACTTTGTGTACATCTAGATGGGTTTATTTTCCATAAAGTATGATGAATATTAGAAGTTAGTAAAATTTGGCATGAATTGTAAAAAAATGCCCATATTTATTCTTTTTCAAAAATATTACTCTATTTTAGTAGAAATTATGAATTTAAGAAGACTATATATGGTGTGTTCCTCTATCTTGGATTTTTTAAGTAGCAGCTAACACATGTAACAATTGGTTTAGATCTTTAAAGAATTGATTTTGAGAATATTATGTAATTCCTATGTAAGACTCTTCGTGTTTAACATGGAAAATGATGTGTTTTGTCATATTTACAGCTGTATTTTCTAAAAAAAAAAACACAATTTTGTTTGATTCATAGTTTTTTTAACTATGCCACATAAGGAGAGATAACTCAAATAGTAAGGGAGATAACTCAGATAAAGTGTTTTTGTAATAGAAAGTGTTGCGATTTAACCTATTTAATATGTAGCAAGAAAACAAGTCCGGTGACCACATTTTTTTCTTTTTCTTATCTGAAATCATGCTATAAGACCTCTATTCTAACACTTCATCTTGAAATTTTGTGTAGTAGTTTTCTTTATCATGTTTATATTACACAAAATTGAAATTTACATGCATAATCTGATAATTTTACACAACTTGTAGCGTGAAAAAAGTCTGGTGACCTATACTTTTTTATATATATTTTGAACAAATAGCATGATTAAAACCACGTTTTGACAAATTATTATAAAATACTTAGGATTTTAATAACGACCTTAAGCAATTATTGTACATCAGGACTGGTTATTTTTCATCAAATTAGAACATATACTAAAATTTGTGTTCGCATTGTTAACAAAAACAATATGTCTTCCTGTTATCAAACAGAATGCATATGATTTGCAATCAGTTATTTTAAGAGCCTCCGGGTAACTGTATTTTTTATTTTTTTTTTTATTTGAATTATATAAGAATAACAATACTTTTACTGTTCTTTGTAATGAATAAGAGTGTTATTTAAAATGAAGATTTATTAAAAATCAGTAACCATCATTTTATATAATTATGTGTGTACAGCGGAATGGGTTGTCCTCTGAAAATAAGATACATTTTATAGAAAAATATTCATGAAAGTTTGTTTGCATTTGTAAGAGTGTGCCGCTTGCATATTTCGTTACTTTAATGAAAATAGATCACAGAAATTTGCAATTATTTTATTAATTTTGATAATTTCTTAATGTAGAGCATTTTCCGGAAATGTAGAAGATTGAGCACTAGCGATGAACACTATTTTTTAGTACTCGTCGGGTTTGAAAAAAATGGCAAGTATATGATAACGACAATTAATATCCTTTAATAATAATTAAATCTCTGATGTATCTTCATGTTTCTCTTTTCTTCTAACAACCCTAAAATTTTAGCTCTGAAAGCTTTTCTGAATGATTTAAACAATATAAATTGTGTGGTTTCCATAATTGACCGATTTAATTTTTCAGTGGCGATCTTTTTAGTAAATAAAACGAAAAAAGATTTCGTTATTTTTATGAGTTCAACATTATTTGACGGAATTCAATCCGTCAGAAAGTTCAAAGCTTTTAAAATAATTATGACGGAAAGCTGACGTGTGTTTGACGCGATTTTGACTGATCGATGACTGTTGACTTATCGCTAAAAAAGTAATGCGTAAGGTTATAAGTACTGTATATATTTCAAATGGCCCGGAAGGACCAGATTCCAATGTCAAGAAACTTTCACGCTCCTTTCCTAGCAATTCTTCGATATTGCTTGATGTCAATTCAAGATATAAAATTTCAATAAGAAGATAAACGACCTTTTGCTAATTGTTTTCCAAATTTCCCAAATTTACACCGTTAGTTAATACAATGTATCAAGTTATATTAAGTTTTCACATTATTTCTCTCAGTATGTTAAAATTGTCCATATGTCTTTGTGAAATTTTTTAGATTCCGCAAGCTTAACCTCAAATATAAATCCGTTTCTTGTATTGCTAATAGTGTGTCGGGAACACAGACTGACGTTAACATCTGATTTAGAAAAAATCGAATGTAATCTTAAAGTCATATGAAACGAGTGACTGGCGAAAAATAATGTTTATCCAATTCTTGAACCGACGCATGTATATATCATAAACTTAGTTTTCTGTGCACGATTTTATCATTTTTTACGCAAACATATCGTATAATCGTCAATTGTTTTCCTCTCTGTCTGTTATGATGTGAAAATATGGCAGCTATTTATTGTCGTGTTTTGTATCCGTCGTTTACCGATTGTCACCTTATAGTAAACAATCAACAAAGAAGCATGGATATTAAGCACGTGTATAACATGTACAATCAGATAATAGTTTATTTCAATGACAGATCCATGCGTATTGCGATCACCGGATTTTTACGAGAAGGGTCACGCTAAGGTCACTTGCATACGGAAAATATCTCGGCGAATTGCTTCCTGGAAGCAAGCAATTAAAAAAAAGTAAACTTCTTCTAAATGTGCACAAATCAAAGAATTTTCTTCAGAAAAAAGTATATGTACATAAGTTTTATAATGAGAACGATCCATTTAGTTATAAAAAACATATGCATCATTTTTTTTTAATTTGAGGTTTCATATGACTTTAATTTACAAATGCAATATTTCCAGTTTGTAAAATAAACAGCAATATCTTTTTTTTTTCATATGGATGTTGGGTTTTATTACTTTCATACGGAAACTTTTTACTAAAATCTGCGAACAAAACGAATTGTTTCTGTTCCCAATTGTGTTTTCCCTTTTCATAACAGTGATGTATCCTTGGATCTTTCTAACCCTATGTATATTTCAAAATTCGTTCCTCATCTATTGTTTGAAACGATATTTTCAATTAAGACAGTCTATTCATTGCCGAAAAAAAAACATTTGATTTTTCTCAAAACCTCAAAGCATTCACTTAATTATTTCATAGATGCACATGTTTAGCTTTGTTGCTTTGCCGTGTGTCTATGACAAACGACAATAATACCCGCTATTGTTCGGTTATATGCATTACAAAACAAGTAGAAGTTGATGCAACCCATTTAGCATGTTTGATCCTGTAAATGAATTCAAACTTATCCCTATCTCTTAACATTGTTTTAATGGTAATCAATAGCATTATGAATACATCTAATCAAAATAAATTGTATTTCCTTCACAACTATGACCACATTTGGTTCTACATCATGTTGCGACAGTATTCATTTTATGTTTTACTTTTTTTGTTTTTTGTCTTTGTTTATGTTCTTGTTATGTTTTGCTCTTTTGTTTTATTTCTTTTTTTCTGGAATTGTACCAATCTGATTGTTCAAGCTCTATAGAAACTACTTTTTACCGTTTGACAAGAGCTATGTTTGTGCGGCGCTAAATGTTCAAGTACAAACATTATGAATCAGTAATTTCGTCAAGTATGTGTGAATATTAATTGGAAAAGCGGGTAATGTATGCAAAATGTTTATAACCTGTAGACATAACTGGTAATGGTTCTTTGAGAGTGCATGTGCTCCTATAACATGTATAAGAAATGGCATTCGCCTTGAATTCTACATTTAAACATGCTAAATCAATGTACGAGAAATAGCCATGGCTACCTTTGATTTCTTATAAACCAAGTGCTTTACTTTCGCTACTGAAATGTCTTACATGTACTAGTAATGTCGGCCTTTAATTCTTAAATTCAAAGTGGGAAAATATTCTATAAATCAAGCAATATATATCAAAGATTATTTTGACGTACATTTATCTTTTAGTTTATAGATAAGTATATATATATATATATAGATTCAAAACATCTGAAAGTAACCACTTCCTCTAAAGTGTAAATTGCTTCAAAGATTGCCCGAGTAAATAAATTTACATACATGTTTTTTCTTCCGGCATCACCTATGACAACTCTTTGACTTTAGGTTGTATGCTTTAAATTGTTATAGATCAAGATAAATGTAGCAATGTGGAACTAACTGATTGATATAAAATGTAAGCTTATATATAATATTGACATATTGTTCAACTCTAATTTATACTATGAGAGATTTTTGGCTTCGAATCTGCACGCTTATGCAATAAATACTCACAAAATGCCATTAGCATCACCAAAAATAAAATGAAGATACACACAAATGTCTTTCTTTTGTAATTTTCTGAAGAAAAAAAAAATGAAATCATAATAGAAAATCAAATTAAGACAAACCTGATATTAATTTGTATTTATATTTCTTACAATTCATGATAGGTGGCATAATGTATCAGATAGTCCATATAAAGGTGTTAACAATTCGATTAGGAATGAAGGGCTTCCCCCGAGCTCTCAATTTCACAGTATATTCCTTAATGTAATACCTATTTACCACTCAAGTTATCTTTTAATTTGTCTATGATTAGTGTATGTTGGCTGACTACTTGTACCTTAGGTGTTTGTTCAACGGGGATCATTAAATATGTTTGATGTTTGAAAGTAAAATAAGAAAAATACTGAACTACGAGAAAAATTCAAAACGGAAAGTTTCTAATCAAATGGCAAAATCAAAAGGTCAAACACATCAAACGAATGGATAACACCTGTCATATTCCTGACTTGGTACAGGCATTTTCCTATGTAGAAAATGGTGGATTAAATCTGGTTTTATAGCTTGCTTAACCTAACACTTGTATGACATGTACAGTCGCGAAGGAGGCTCGAGGGTATAAAAATATCAGCAAAAATTGAAACATTTTTTTGTCATTACAAATTTTATCTATTACACTATTAGTTGTTACTTTATGATATGGTACGAAAATCAACCAAAAACAATCAATTCGTTTTGGCCCCAGATTACTTTTAAAAATGTTTATATCATTGAAAAAGCTCCAAATTATCTCCCCTTGGTAAAAAAATGCCATTTTTTGCATTTAAATTGAAATAACTGTTTTTTAACTTCTCGGTGACCTACTAGTATATTTTTTATTATTTTTTTCAAATAAACTGTACTTAAACTAAACTATTGTAAAATTTAAGCGATTTATATAATTTACTTCTTTTTTTATTTCGATATTACCTTTTTTGTCCTATTAGTTCAACAGAAAAAAAGTACTTTAACAAAAATGCATGTTTCTTTCGAAGGCAGATTGTGAGCTTAAATGAACGGTGACCCCATAATTTTATTTTATTTTTGTATTAAGTACAGGATAAAGTTTATTTATAGAAAAAAAATAGCGAAATCCTATATTAAAAAAAAAAATGATTTATACCCGCGAGCCCCCTTAAATTCAATAATATTGACAACGATATCGGAAAAAATGAAACAGACATAATATGTAAAAATGTCAAAATTAAGGGTACAGCCGTCAATATTGTGTTATATTCTCAATCACTATAAAAACAAACAAATATGTAACAAAGAGGCACAAACATACATATAGAAAAATCATATTTAATTTAGCAAAAATAAAAACAAGAATACAAAAATTGACAATAGCACAATAACACAATGACGGGATGTATAAAGAGCAGAGCCACGTCATACGCATCACAGAAACACAACAAGGCATATAGACAAAGCACATTAACAAAAATTTAAGACAAGAATACAAAATTTATCATGAACGTATGATTTGTGAAGTTGATACGGAATATTTATCTACAAGGTTTCGGTACCTTCAGATGAACATTTTTTTAGAAAAAGGACGAGACGTTCTTTGACATACCCCTGGTTCATCGACTTTCTGCTCAGACACCGGTGACGTCTTACAAAATCTGAGTAGGAGCAGCAAGCTCTTGAATTACGAATACATTGGGAAATGTAAATTCCATATGCGAATGAAGTTGGTATATCATGTATATTGCTATTAAGGTGGGGGAAATTGATAATTTCCAAATTAAAATAAATAATTGATGTCTGGAGCTTCCACTGCAGTAACTACTAGTCGTCCTTGTATATTGATGTATCATTGTCATTTTGCTTAGTTTCTTTTGTAATCTATTCAGAGAATTGGGACTTCTTTTAAATAAAGGCAACAGTAGTATACCGCTGTTCGAAATTCATAAATCGATTGAGAAAAAAAAACAAGTCCGGGTTACAAACTAAAAGTGAGGGAAAACATCAAATATAAGAGGAGAACTACGACACAACAGAAACACAACATTAAAATGTAACATATACAGAAACGAACTATAATATAACAATGGCCATTTTGCTGACTTGGTACAGGACATTTCAAGAAAAAAATGGTGGGTTGAACCTGGTTTTGTGGCTAGCCAAACCTACCGCTTTTATGGCAATGTTAAATATAACATTACATGACAGGACTACAATACAAATAAATGGGAGAACATATAGGACAGAGAAACATACGAATAATAGCTAACAAAAGGTACCAGGTTTAAAATTTAATACGCAAGACGCGCGTTTCGTCCACACAAGACAAACCAGTGACGCTCAGATCAAAAACGTACGAAACTTTATTCTGCGTTTTGCTTTGTAATTGTTTATTCTATTTTAGCTAGATGTATATGGAGAGGGTTGAGATCTCACCTTAACATGCTTAACCCCTCTACATTTTTCGCCTGTGCCAAGTCAAGAGCCTCCTGGCTTTGTGAGTCTTGTATCTAATTACAAAAAGTTGAGTTCATTTATATGTTTTGGAGTGAAGTGTACGTGAAGTTCATTTTCGATGCACTAGTTCACATTTTTGTTTAGGGGCTATCCAATTATCGGCTTCTGGATCGGGATATTCCCGTTATTTTAAAACCCGTTGGTGGAATTGAGGCTGTTGTCTGCTATTGGTTAGGTTATTGACTCTTTGACACAGTCTCAGTTTTATTTTATGTTGTAACTTGAATAACTGGTTTGTTAGAATTAAAAGACGAGAGGTGAAAGATTACCTTGATAGTAAAGAGACATCCTAACTCATATCAAACAATAGACTGACAAGCCATGACAAAAAAATCCAGAATTTCAAAAAGGTATACAAAAAAACTGAGTGACACGAACCCCCAGAAGAGCCGTAGGTGATCTCAGTTGCTCCTGAAAGGTAAGCAGATGCTGCTCCACAAGTGTCACCAGTTGTTTTGCTTTTGTAAGTTAAATCCGGTGATAAGTCTAATTTGGTAGGTCACATTTGGTGAAATGGAAGACAAGATTGTGGGTACGACGGTTGGAACAACGAGTGTCGTCATTCAAAACATCATATCGAAACTGAAGAACTGTCGACACTGTGCATAGCAAGCAGCTGTACATGCTACAACACATATTCAATATAATGTAACATCGAAAAATATGAATACTAACCATGTGTCCTCATATTATAACTAGGGTCATTGTAGGCTTCCACATGGTAAACAAGATCTATCCTTAAACACATAAAATGTTTTGATTTGCATTAATTGTAGACATACCAGTTAATGATAATAACTAGAAAATGTGAATGCCAGAAACTTTTCATATTTTGAATTTTCAATCGTATCCGTGTTAGTTTTAATGAGAACCACACAATAGCTATGATTATTTTTTTTTTCCTTATTTCAAGATACTATTCTTTATAAAACATGTCAAATATTGTAACCTTCTTAATGTTGATGCTAGCATACCTTGACGTTTTTAGACTGAAGTGATGTTGTAACTTAAAAGTAACAAACGCAGCTACTAAAGGTAAAACTTAACTTTACAAGTGGTTATAAAAGAGGTACCTTATTGACATTGATATAAAAACATACAGTTATTAATTAGTTTAGTCTCTGAAATGCTTACAGTTAAAAAGTGATGACTCAGAGTAGTGTGTCGATGAAACTGTTTTCATTATGATTTACCTTATCTTTCGTCGTTCGTTTATAAATACATTGTTATGATATTTCTCTAAAGCCATAATTATTTACGTCTACAGTTGTAACGTGTATTCTCTCGCGAAATAAGTTTTAGGTGGACAGCTATTTATATTAATAAGATGAGTTAGGTTTCGTTCATTCAAACAAGTGTATCGATAGAAAATCACTTACTGTTTATTTCCATATGATTTCATGATGTGTTCATTCTGCGAACCTAAAATATTGTTCAAACAAATATATGATGACGGCAAAAATTGTTGTTCATACATTAAATGAACCTTAACATAAGTTTAGATAAGAATTCGAATAATTGGTTTTTCAAACGTCACATATGTCCTTTCTACTTTAAGATGGATTTTTATTGATCAAGCCAGCCAATACGAATCTATAAATATAAACAAAGGGGTGCAATGATTGTTAATGTAAATGAATTAACAGCTCAGCTTGCCAACTACATGTAGATTCTTTTTTTTTTTATAATGAAGGTATCACATAAGAGATTTACAAAACTAATGTTAAGAAACTGGTAACAATCTTTTACTTAGCGTTTTGCTATTGACAATCACACAATGATTACCCCCCCCCCCCCCAAAAAAAAAATTGATTATTTAGCCTTTTTCCAAGCAGGGAACGTTATTAAGTGTAATAAATTTTAGATTATTCCTTAGAACCGCCAGAAAATTGCATTTCTACAAGCTTCGAATTAAATGGTCGTTGTAAATATCCCAATGTGTAATATTATACAAAAAGTAAAATTACAAAAATACTAAATTCTGAAGACATTTCAAAACGGAAAGTCCCTTATCAAATAGCAAAATAAAAAGCTAAAAAAGACCTCAAACGAAAGGATAACAACTGTCATATTCCTGACTTGGTACATGCATTTTCCTCTGTAGAAAATTATTGAAAAAATGGTGGATTTAACCTGGTTTATACCTTGCTGACACTCTCACTTGTATGACAGTCGCATCAGAATCCTTTATATCGACAACGATGTGTGAACAAAACAAACAGACATGATAAGTAAAAATGTCAAATATAGGGGTACAATAGTCAACATTGTGTTATAATCTTAATCAATATAAAACAAGCAAATATGTAACAAAGAAACACAAAAAGGCATATAGACAACGTACAATGAAATACAAGAATACAAAAATAGCACAATAAGACAATAAAAAGATGTATAAGTACATAGCCACAGCAAATGTATCAAAGTAACACAAAAGGTACATAGCATACATGTTATACCTCTGGAAAAATTATATTGTGCATGTAATATTCATTTTGAAATTATTATCGAGTAAAACTCGTATTCATTATAACAGTATTATTCCAAATAGAAACAGTCACGCATCATTGGAGAACAGTGACGAATTTTATGGACCAAAAACGGGATAATATGTAATATGAGTGGTATATTGATAGGCACATATATGATACAGTTTCGTTCCTTTTTTTCTTGACAGATGGATATGTGAATATAAGTGCAAGCGACACGATCAGCAACACACTCAAATATGCGATGATATTGATGTTCCGTTCATCTGTCATTTCTCAATCATGTCAATTGAAAGCCCATAAATTGTGACGCCTCTTTTTTTTTTTATTATACAATGCTAATCATGCTAATACCGAAAACAAGAAAAAAAGTGCTTGTAGTAGATGTCAATCCATAAAAGACATGTTTAAATTAAAGAATAGAAATGAAATACTAAAAATGTGACATAAGGCAACGATAACAAGGATTATATAACTATTTAGCGAGGCAACATTTTTATTTGTCAGCATTTCCCCTGATACAAGAATCAATCCTTGCTTGAATGAATCAATAAAACATGGTATATATAAAACAGTAAGATTAAAATATAAAACTCGATTATCATAAACAGAAAGTCGTTTTGTATACTAGGTAAATGAAATTAACGTGAATACGAGGATTGGGGTAATAGTTCATTGATATTTGAAATTGTGTATGTGACGCTGAAAATAAGGTAGGTACTAAGGTTGTTAAGAATTATATATTTTTAAAAAGTTTGGTGAATATCTAATTAAGCGATAGGAGATAAGAATAAAATAGATCCTCAAAAATTATACCGTTAATATCTCGTTCTGGTGATTTATAACATGAACAATCTTCAACTGACGGTAAACAATATCCTGCATTAAAGGCTGGTTTAACAAGTGTATACCCTCCTGATCTGTCACAGTGGCACAGTCTGTCCTCTTTATTACTGCCATTGCTAGCTGTTATTTGCCCTTCGCTATAGCATTGACCTTTTAAATATGCGCAATCAGTATTTCCGTCTGTGCTGAATTTAAATGGTTGATATCTCTCCTGGTCACAGTCACCTCTGTTGAAATTTGGTTGCCATACCCATTTAAAACCTAAACAATGTTGTTTATGTAAATTATATAATCTCAAAAAATTTTTTAATCAAATACAAATTTATCGGAAGGAATAACTAATTTACATTTCAATTCAAAGGTATTAACGTGTGGAAGACGGAATGATTTTTTTCCAATACAAAAAACATACTCCAATTTAATTGTATTAATGCTTATAACAAAATCTCGTTACACACCATATTAAGACAAAACATTTAATCTACGTAAACATAACATATAAGCATGTTACAACTGTTAAATAAAATTAACAAACACATTTGTTGTAAATAAACACAGAAAGTTTTTAAACATAATCAAAACCTGTGTTTCCAAATCAAAATATGCCATAATCAACTTTTTTTTTCCATCAAATTTACGCTAATGATAGTAAACGGTTATGGTGTGTTCTTTTCATTGTAGTTCATATACCACATTTTGAATGCTATAGTATATGAATGATTCAAAAAATATATTTGAGTTATTTAAGCTGCGTTGTTGTTAAGTGTTCTTCCTTATTTAAATTTAAATCAGTTTTCTAGTGGTATTCTCGTTAACAGCTGTGGGACACGCTTGCAGGTGGTACGAGAACAGAAGTAAAAATGTATAGTCATACCAAACACTTATCAAAACTGGTATATATCAAAAATTGAGAGACGAAATATAAAACTAAAAAAGTAAACATTAGATAACAAAAAATACATTACAAATTGTATCAACATGTCAAATTAACATGAGTGTACGTATTTTCACAAAATGAATTAAAGGTCTTTCCGCCTACAATATTTAGAGTTCAATTAAGATTCTTGAAAACTTATAGTGCGTATGTTTATGTTGTAATGTAACACTATTGTTTCAGGTAAGGATGAAAGTTGGTACCTATTTAAAAAAAAAATTTAAACCCGCTGCATTTGTCCACACCTGTCCTAAGTCAGGAGACTAATGTTCAGTGGTTGTCGTTTATGATGTGGTTTATAAGTATTTCTCGTTTCTCGTTTCTTATATAGATTGGTTTTCCCGTTATAATGGTTTACACTAGTCATTTTGGGGCCCGTTATAGCTTGATGTTTGCTGAGAGCCAATGCTCCGAGTTGAAGACCGTACTTTGACCTATAATGGTTTACTTTAAAACATTGTGACATTGATTGAGAGTTGTCTAATTGACACTTATACCACATCTTCGTATATCTATTTGAATTAACTTCACATTGAAAACTTACAAAATAGTAAGCAAAACCTGATGAGCGATTCATATTACATGTAAACATATAATAATATAAATATTTTTTTATCTATATTGTTTTACCACTAAAAGGGGAAAATGTGCGAGTTAAGCTTTTTATATATAGCTGTATGAGCTATATCTATAAAATTTTTACGACGAAAAGAAATATAACAGTGAGAAGACTCTGCAATGTCGTGGAAACGTATAGTGTTGGATACAATACGATTCTTTGTACTATTTGGCGGTGTATTTATGTCACGGATTTTTAAGTATCACCTTTAAACCAATTGATGTATACACTATAAAACGTTCTTATTTTGCATTTACATACCTGTTTGATATATACCATACCTGGTTCCATTTCTTTTGGTCCTTTACATTCCTGTCTGTAGCTACCATATGGGACTTCCAATAAACACAAGTAGTTACTTGCCTTCTGGCAAATGTTTGAAGAAATTATATTCCAGTGTGACTGCTTTGGACAAGTAACATTGAACAGGTGGCAAAACTTAGAAAGCTGTAAGCATATAACAAATGTACAAACAAGAAGTTACCAAAGCCCAACCTGTTATATACAATTAAATATTAATTTGTGTTCTATGCTTTTAGACTTTACTGGTTAAAACAAAATAGCGATATATGTTTCATCTAAGAGCAAATTTAAATGTTATGTATTTTTTTTGGTCTTTGACAAGTTCCGTTTATGGATATGTGTCTTTTCTTTTGTTATTTACACAGTCTTGGATAAAATGACGACCAATGTCAATGATCGTAGTCTTAACAAACGCCTTCATAAACATAGTACTTTATTTTTTTGATGATTTCTACTTGTATATTGTGAATGAATTTACGAGACAGAACGCCAGTAATCTATTGTTGCCTCTTTCTGTATGTACTGTTGTTTCGTTTGGATTGGTTGTTTATTGTAACAACATTTTAAAGTAAAAGAAGACGAAATTCAGGTTTTTTTTGTCGTTAAGTTTATTTTCCGCATACTATGACTTTAAGTAAATTTCAAACTTTGACTGAGTGCATATCTAATTAATAAATAAAGGCAACAGTAGTATACCGCTGTTCAACAGTCATACATTGATCGATTGAGAGAAAACAGATTCGGGTTACAAACTCAAATCGAGGAAAAACATCAACTATAAGAGGAAAACAACGGAACAACAGAAAAAAATGCAACAATAACAAACGCCAATGCAACATACATAACAACGGATTATTTGATAACAACTGTCATATTTCTGACTTGGTACAGGACATTTTAAGAAAAAAATGTGGTTTTAATCTGGTTTTATGGCTAGCCAAATCTCCCACCAAATGGCAATGTTGAAAATACTGCTAAAATGACACCATTATTAACACGATTACAGTACAAATAAATGCAAGAGAAAAACATACTAGTACATTTCGATATGTTAACCACAGAATAACAACGAACACCTGAAATTCAAATGCCGACAGTAAACAAAAACAAGATAATAAAATTACGAACTGTGCGTCACACGAATGTTTCAACGCCATAGACAATGACGTCACAGGTAAATTTCTAGAAAAAGAACAAAAAACGGGATTATTGTTTTAATGGTGTTATGTGGTGTATTTTATATCAATTACAAGAATATTACTATAGTTGTGTTAGTAATTGTTTAATTTATTGTATTCCCTAACTATGTCGGTTTTACTTTTGAATCAAACTTTGTAAGACAAAAAAATCCTGTGCAAATAGTTGCCTTTAACTAAAATCATGTAAATAAACTAGGTGATTAATTATATTAACTTTAACCTACGAATGGAAAAAAAAACAAAGAATTAAAACTTCAGACAATAAGACATAAACAATATGCAATCGGAATTACAAATCATAATTAACTAAATACTAGAATGTTAGATGTACAAATACCAAGACACTTCTTATAGCAATGCGATTTTACTCTCAGCAAAAGAGTCATGTTCTGAAATTGTTCATATTCGGACCAGAAGACGCAGATGTTAAATAATTACAATCTAAGACGTGGTAAAATGTCTGCAGTTAGTTTAGACACAGACACATTTCTGGTTGAGGGGCATACGTCTGTATATTAAGTTCTTATAGTGTGAACATGCATGATCATAACGTATCGACTGAGATATATGTAAACACCATACAATGGGGCAGAGGTAATTTTATTGCTGAGAAATGAGATATTGATAATGGGGGAGTCGTCCATCTGTGTCAATATTGTGAAAGAGATCAAGGTATGAAGCAGTCTTTCTAGTTACAGTTGTATCATTAGTTTAAATATAAGATGTAAGTTCAAGCTGAAATTTGAGGTATTCGGGAATAGGACATTATCAAAATAAGTCGAACAAAGAGGAGGACCGGTGATGGGTTGACGTTGGAAAGAGTGCTAACGTCTATGAGATTGATTGATTTTTTTATCAAGAATGTTCGCCACTCTGTTTCAAAATCACAAACCGTGTGCTTGTTCTAAAAAAAAATGCCATTTGGTTGGTAATGATTCCCTCTAAATTTTCGTACATTTAACATTTGCACTTTTTTCTTCCAAAAATTAAAAAAAAACAAGGATTTATAGAATTTGCAAAAATGGTTTAATGAAATAAGTGTAATAAAATTATTGAAAAAGCAGGGGTTAGCAGGTACAATTTGTAATGACGCTTTTTGGTTAATACCAGTTTATTTCAAATATCTTGCAAAACAATACAAAAACAACATCCTTACATGTTAATGTCGGGGGTAAATATGTCATGAAGATTCAGGACGAGAACAGCTTGGTCACAAGTACCAAAACTACAGATAATGAATGGCAAATCAAAGAATACGATAGACGAGAAATGATTACTGAACTAGAAAATTAAAGAATTTTGGGATAGAGGGGTCAAAATGTTGGATCCTTGATTAAGTTGATACGTTGACTTATGAATGATTATTCACCAGGACCTCTAAACTTCAGTATAAGCAGTATTCAATGGTAAACTTTAATTAAATCCCTCGGCGCATCTGGTAAAGTCCAAAACGTTACAGCTACCCAATTTCTTATATCCTTTTCTACTCATAACTGCAAATTACATGATTATGATATGATGAACAAAAACAAAAGTATCTTCACAAAAACTCCACGGAAAACTCAAAACAGAAAGATTTTTATCAAAAAGAAAATTTCAAAGCTCAAATACATCAAAACAAATGGTAAACAACTGTCATGTTCATGATGTTCCTGACTTCGCACAGGCATTTCCTTGTGTTTTCAAATTGTCTTACTCAATATTTTAATAAATCATTAATTGAGAAATACACAAATGAAGAATATACCTTCCTTCATGTTTTCGATAACCGTTACTCCTACTTTTAAAAATGTGTATTTAAAATAAATGTATAATCCAAAATCCCTATTTCACTTTGTGTTTCGAATTGAGTTTGTCATTTAAATGATTATGTATTGCAATTATCATCATGAAAATGGAAAAGAGATTAAGAAACCATTATATTAGATAAAATATTGATATGTATTCTTTATCAAAATTTAAATTACATTCTTATATATGCCGTATAAGGTCACGAGGAAATCCATTCGTGGTTAGGAGTTATTTACCGAATACACATGATATTGCGTAATTTCTGCGGGAACTATAATAATGAATTTTTGAAAATCAATAATACTAGTTAAATTTGTTTACAACAACGAAGACAGAAAATATGACAAACATGCACACACAACCTTAAACAGCTATCTCAAGAGAAGTGGCTTGTACCAAGACAAGAACTAGATTATAAGTTGATTATGTGGTTTCAAAGTATTAATTGTACCTGCAAAAAATCCTTGAGATATGAAATATGTGCTTTTTTTTTGATAAAGTTTTAAAAACAATAAAATTGAGATTGGAAATGGGGAATATGTCAAAGAGACAACAACACGACAAAAGAGCAGATAACAGCCGCAGGCACCATGGGCATCCAATGGGTCTTCAGCGTGAAAATTCGGCGACCGGAGGTGGGCCTCAGCTGGCCCCTAAATAAATATGTGTACTCGGTCAGTAAAAATTGATAATTTAACTCCAAAACATTTGAATGAATCAAAATAAAAGACTAACAAAGGCCAGATGCTCCTGACTTGGGATAGGCGCAAAAATGCAGCGAGGTTAAACATGTTTTGTGAGAACTCAAACTTCCTTCTATACCTCTAGCCAATGTTAAATAAAGAAACAAATAGCAATACGCACAGTAAATCTTAGTTTAAAAGAAGTCATAGTCCGATCTCAGAAAAAGGTAACAAAAGAAACTAAGTTAAATTGACAAAGGACTATGAGCAGTCACTGGCATGTCAGCTCCAGACCTCAATTAAACAGGTTTAAAGATAATGTCTTCATCGTATGAAAATCAAGCACAATCCCTCCCGTTGGGAGTTTAGTAGCATACTATCATAAAATATATGAGAAGAACATAACCCGTATCATGCCAACAACTGGTTCTAGAATAAATGTGTTTATTTCCGATGCAAAGACCCTATGAGTGAATCAATATTAATACCAAAATATGCCATCATTAATAACCTGACAACAGTATTGTTACTATATAGATATAAAAAGATGTGGTATGAGTGCCAATGAGACAACTCTCCATCCAAGTCAAAATTTATAAAAGTAAACCATTATAGGTCAAAGTACGGTCTTCAATACGGAGCCTAGGCCCACACCCAACAGTAAGCTATAAAGGGCCCCAAAAATTACTAGTGTAAAACCATTCAAACGGGTAAACCAACGGTCTAATCTATATAAAAAACGAGAAACACTTATGAACCACATCAACAAACGACAACTACTGAACATCAGATTCTTGACTTAGGACAGGTGCAAACAAATGCAGCGGGTTTAAACGTTTTAATGGTACCAAACCTTCACCCTTTTTCTGAAACAATAGTGTAACATAACAACATAGAAAGACACACTATAAGATATCAACTGAAATAGCTTAACTCAATCAAAGGACATATTAACACCAGTGAACATACACTGAACAAATAAATTTGACCTATGATACAATGTAAATACAAAATAAATACACTAAGGTAAGAATAATAAAAGTAACATGTTATATCGGTATGAAATGTTAAACAATTTAAGAAAAACAGTATGCTCGAACAAAAATATCAGCCATTTGCAATTACTTTAAACACAGGTAAATGAAAATCATTTTGTTGTTAGGTATACGTGTACAGTTCCAATAGAGAAGGAAATATTTTTACAACATAAATAATTTTGATGTTCATAGTACGAAGTGAAAATTGATAGTAATACCAAACACTTATCAAAGCTGGTATATAGACCAGATATAACCCTAAATAACATTAAATAACAAAAAAGCATTACAATTAGTATCAACAGGTCAAATAAACAAGAAAGTAAGATTTGAGAGTACTCGCAGTTACTGACAGCTAGTTAAAAGCCAAAACAATTAATAATAAAAAAAAATCATGCATCAGAGACTAAAATCAACTAAAACACATC